CTCTTTTATCACACGCTGTCGTATCGATCGATTAACGTGAGAAAGTAACCATTTTTCGCCACTGATGTATTCGCTTTGTAGTTATGCGATAATCTCGACGTCAACTAGCCACTCCACGTTATCGTCATACGTCTTCCACATTGCATGCACTTGAATCGAACGTGGTAAGTTCTGTTGAAGAGCTTTTTGTTTTGTTAGCTTTTGTTTCCTTCCTTTGTGTATATTCCCCATTTCACCATTTTTCGCTGTAGCCGCTTTCATGAGCGGTGGCGTTTCCGTTTTGCTGCTGGCCACTGTTGAAGCTTTGTGTGCTCCCACATTCTAATGGATAAATTCGCTTCAGTACGTTTGAGGACGTCTACCGGCGACAATCAGTAGGCTGTTTCCGGAACGAGCAAATAGGTATTCGCGTTGCTATGGTTGTTTGGTGTTTTTCTAGCTACATCTACTCAATCCCTTTCCAGTAGAGTTTATATCACGCAGAGACTTTTCTTAAACAGTAGTTGGTTACGTTTCACATCACTATTTAGGGGCTCATGTCCTTGGGGGGACATTAAGTGAGTGAGCCAATTACTGTGCTTGGGACTAAGCCCTAGGGAGGGGAAGGGATCTGGGGAGCATGTGAGCAATTGTGTTCTCCCTGGCGTTTCTCTCCTTTGCTGGGCTTAGTCCTAGTCTCACCTACCATCGGTACTGTTTTGAATGTCTCCCAACCTCCCCCCCCCTGCCCAAGGACACGAGCCCCCCTTTTCATGTGTGAATAGAGGTGATGTTTCCATCGCTTAGATTTTTTGGCTGGGGCAAGGGGGGGGGAGAGGGCATCCAGTGAGTTACAGTATTGGGTTGGAGCATAATATCGTAGCGTTTTTTTCGAGCGTATAAATTCCATCAGTACAAGTATCATCCAAAAAACTGCTCATACTATTTGAAAGTACTCTTCTCGCTCTACAAAACCGTGGTTGTCATTTTCTTCAACATTGTAGCTGTACTCAGGTATAGAGCTTAGAAGTTGGAAAATCCAGACGGCGAAAATCGGCGTTTCGACAGCTGCTATTTCTCGGTTTAAAAAAAGAAGAAAAAACGCCAAATTGGAAGTTCTTTCGAATCCATTCTTCTAATCAAACCTTGCTCTATCCGACCCCACCTATTTCGCTCGAATTGAAACCTATTCATTTCGTACAAATTGAGAATAAGGACCCCGAAAATGAGCTCAATATTCTTCTCTACATCCGGTGATCTCAGGCGAAATGCAATCAAAGTTGTAAATAATGACGAAGTGAAGATCACTGATTAGTTTTATGTTTTATTTTTCGCTTCAAATGTTTTTGTGTGAAGAAATGAAAAATGCAAGCGCTACGATATTATGCTCCAACCCAATACTTGGGATTAAGCTGCAGGGAGGGGAAGAGTTTCTGGAGGAGAGCAATTTTTGTTCTTCCTAGCGTTTCTATCTTCCTCTGACTTAGTCCAGTGTCACCTGTCATCGGCCCTCCTTTGGCTATCCTCCAGGGCCATCTCCGCTTATTTCTTTGCAAGCTAGCGTTTAACACTCGGGATGTTTTGCAAGTTTTGCCGTAGAGGAAGAGTTTCATTTTTTCATTCCTCGATTCTTCCGTATTTTGTGGATATTTCCATTTTCATTTTTCTTTTTTTTTCCTCGGGTTGTATGGAAATCCACGGATTCAGATATCCCTCCATCATAGCATTGGGCCTCATTGCATGTATTGTTTTGGTGCTGCTACGTACATTAGCTCTAGCTTTGGTTTCCGCCTTGTCAACTGTTATCGGTTATTATGGGTAATTATCATAGCAGTAGCGGTTTGCTTCCATCTCTATCTATCTCCTAGTGCGAGCAGTTGAGCACAAGTGTTGTTGATGATGCGGCATAGTTAATTGAATCTAGACGGGGAGCATAGAGGGTTCACATTTCTTTATGCAGTCAGTCGTTGTAATCCGACTCTATGAGCATTATCTAGCTCCCATGTAGGTCGTGTGCTTGACTTGACAACAAATATGGACGGCGCTTGTGAATGGTGCCAAGCTGTGTGTCACAAAGGAATTGCGCTGGGAGCGGCTCTCAGCGCTCTATTAGGGAAGATGAAGGGTGGTTAAGATGTTCTGAGTGGGTGATGAGTCGTTAAACAGTCTGTTAGGAAAGTGTACGTTCCCTCAAATGGTTTGATTGTTGTGATGGGAGCAGCAATTAATGCTGTGCACCTTTTTTGCAGATCGTAAGCCGATTAACATTGGCGAAGTCCTTGAACGTCCATCGTAAAACAACAATAAATCGACGGCTTCCCTAAGTGGGAACGGCGTTATGGCTAATGCCTAGGCCAATTCTTTTCGGCAGTAAGTGTCACGTAAGAAAATGTGTACTTTGACACGGTGATGTAAGAAGGATACGCACCTGCTCGAGTTCTGATTCTTGCTCATTTTCAAGTGTTTTCCTTGTTTTCTGAGTCTCACTAGTGATTTCTTTCTCGTCTTAGCCTTGCATGTCCAGCGCTTCCTGGGAGAGTAAAGCGCCTTCGTGTGGGTTATTCTTTTCTATTACGGCACTTTCATTCTCTACGTCCTTCCTTCCCCTCCCTCAACTCGACATCCGCTTTGGCAGGCTTCTTCCCAACAACACTGCAGCATCACGACCGCTGACCGCTCCTTCTCGAGTTCGCTATATGTACAGGTTTATCTCAAATTAAGGATCGTTGGTCAGGGTTAAATGGATAACCATAGGTTTCAATATGGTAGCTATATTCTATCCGATACCTTGTGCTACATCACCGCGTAGCAAGGGCTTTGCATGCCAGACGTCCTGTCTGCCCGTCCCGGCGTCGGCTAAAAACCGGGAAGAGGTCAAGCAAACTGGGAGGCTATGGTATGTGAACTGAATGGCGGCTCATTTTCAAATACTGCATCGCTTACAGTAAACTTTAGGAATTTTCACTTTGGATTCCTTTCATTCCTTCTGCTACTTTGGACTTGTCTGGACTTAAACTTTCAGTGGTAGGAGTATGGTAGGATTCTGCTGGTTGAGAATTTCTAGCGCTCCGCTTATTACCAGCCGGTGGATTTGTCTAGACCTAAACTTTAGCTTCGTCGATTACATCGTGTCAATTACCTGTCTACATTGCACTCTTCTCTCTTTTTTTTCTTGTCGAACAGGAAGCTCTTCCTTCCTGAACATGTACTTTGTACACGCTGCGAGATGATCTTTTCAACACGATTCTGGCCAGCACGTATCTTTTCGCGGTACCGATAATGGTAGTTTTTTCTATGTGAGAAGGTCTTTTCGAACTGTCGTGAAAAACCTGATAATTTATTCATCTTTAAATTAGTTTAACCTTCATTACCGGTTCCATTTGTCATTCGCCCTTGCTAAGTGTGGGAGTTTCGGTCTTGTTTTTCTGTGCTGCAATGCATGTGCCACTGTTGTTTGCTGATTAAATGCTTTCATCGGCGTCTCTCCCCACAACTTTTATTCACATTTTTATTGTTGCCTATCGAGTGAGGTGTGCACAGTGTGTTGGATGTTGTTTAGCAGCGAGCGAATTATGCCTTCACATGAAGTTTATTTGTTGTATATTAATGTTCTGATTCGAATAGTGTTTTATGCCTTACGATCGATCGGCGATCGTGGTTTGCATGCGTGGAATTAATTTTTTTGTTCAACTTGCCCAGTCGATTTTGACAGTGCTATAGTCAATTTTGGATTCTGGATTTGTTCACATCCCTGCTGTGTGATTTATAGGTGCTCGTTAGTGTGGAAATGATAGGTTGCCCTCTTCTAAGAAAACATTGGTCATTTCACGAATCACATATTTACTTTTACCGGAAATAAAACCGGGTTAGGATGTGCTATATCTTCACTATTTGCATGTCAGGGAGTTATTGGCGCCCACATTGACCCCATATTCACGGGCAGGGTCAATCTGCCGTAACGTACTTGGGGAAACGCTCAGTTCTCCTCCTCGGTCAGGACACCAGAGCTGCGCGATCATTGAAGCCTAAGGTTAAGTTTGGGTTAGGCTTAGGTTAGGCTTATGCTTACACATTGGCTTATGCTTAAGCCTATGATTGGGCCTAGGCTTAGTCCTAAGCTTGCTTCGAGTAAATGACTGGTGTCTCAATTTAAGGTGATCTGACCTGGGGAGCGCACCCCGTTTTTTTCATGATTCCACTATTCTCCTGTGTATGCATTATAGTCAGGACGTCTTTAAATGTAAAAGTATTGAGTCCCGATTGAGAAAGAGATTGGCACAGCCTACAAGTACGTGGGTGTGCCAATTTCTTTTTCTATCGGGACTCAATACTTTTTACATTCAAAGATGTCCTGAGTATCGTGCGTAGACAGGAGAGTAGTAGAATCATGAAAAAAGCGCTTTTTCATCAGTGTGGGACGCTCGGGGGCGAAACCTAAGCTGTTTGCTGGGCAACCTTACACAAATTATATGAGGCCCCTATATGTTAAACCCAACCTTCATATTCTTAGAATTGCAATTCGTATCAAAAGTCCTTTGAGATTGTATTTTAATGAATTATTTAGGGATTGTTAGTACTTCTTCCCTAAATATGTGGATGGTGATTTAACGCTATAGTTCAGATGCAGTGATTTTCGGTAGCTGTCCTGTCCCTTTATGACCTCATTGATCGCTTTTTCGCTTCGTTCTTATCCCTGTTGTCCTTCACTTCGTGTGTCTGCCTCATTTTTGCAGAAGGGCGCTTGAATCATCCAGGCATCACACGCGCACAAAGTCGTATCCCCTCGTGGGGCGGGCGTCGTGAACGAAACAAGGCCACGAATTCCGGAAAATGGCTCGGCCTGCGCTTTACTTTTATTGTTTGCTAGTGCAGTTTTCTATGATTTTTCTGATATTTATCTTTCTTTCCTTTACCTCCTCTGGATCCAACCTTTTCAGCACTTCTAAAAAATATTGAAAATAAAGAAAATTCGATACCCAGAATGGATGTCATCAGTATTCAAATGTATGGATTGATTTCAGTTACAACGACATCACCTCCGCAATTATGGATCCTGACATGGAATTCAAACGCCTTATCGGCGTTGTATCAGAGCGTCATACAGGACATGAAGGTCAGTATACGGTATTTTCTCATTTTCGTCTCGTTATCATTCTTTCAATCACTACATATAAATGCCATTTTCTTCCTGAGTCGTTTTCACGGGCTTTCCATTTCAAAACCTCGTCTTCATAGAGGTTCAATACTGCTTGATAAAAGTTTCATCGGTTAGGCTGTTGTTGACTGTCAGGCGATGGATGCGGGGAATAGTATTGTGCCTAATTATAGACGTCAATGTGCTCTGTGGGTTTAATTAGTTTTTTTCGATCAAGTTAAAAGCGGTCACGCTGGCTTCACGCTGGATTTGCTACCCTCGCGTTATCAATCGATAAGGTGTGAGGCAGTAATTGTTGGACGAGTGTAAGCCCATGGAAGATATGATACGATGAGATAAGAAGGTGCGGCTGCTTGATAAGAGGTGCACTCCAGAATGAAAACGGGACGATAACGATAACGGTATCATATCTAGCACGCTCTTATCGCACCCCTTTCCACATCGATAAGTCTTGGTTTTTGCTGAACGGAAGTGGATTTCGGCGCCTTATCACTCCGTTGATAAGGCGCCACTGCCACTGAAACTTCACGTGTTGTAACACTGGGCAGGACCTCTATCCACTCCATACACAGCTTTCCTTATCGTCCCATGAGAATTATCGTGACCACTTCCTTTAAAGAGGTGCATTCACAAAGGAAGGCGGCTCAGTAATTGAGGGCATGTGATTTTTTTGTGAAATATCAAGTAAAAAAAAACTACAATGACTATTCGCTCCTATAATGAGCAATGCTGTTGAGTTAGTGCGCTGAACCGTTTGACTCCAATCCATAATAGGTGTCAATTATTTCTTAATGAATGGACCAGGAAAACGTAACCATAATAATAGTAACCTTATCGGAAATAATGTCTGTGTTTTTGATTGCTTCTCAATAGTTTTGCGAAACCTTTTTTTTTTGGCAAAATATGGGATTGTAAAAGTTTTCTAGTGAGTTCGGAGGTACATGTCGGGTTCGCCGAATAAAGGGGAACGCGAAGCGACTATGAGGGCATAAAACCCGCGAAAAGAAAAGGTGAATCCTTCAATGAAATCTACTACGAGTGCAATACTTCGCACAGGAAATTCACGTGGCTCACTGTCTAACTGCTGTCGGCATTCTGAGTTTTTTTAACTTCGATTTAATTTTGTAACTGCTTTCTATGATTATATTGATAGTATACTGAAGTAGTAGTGCGGAGGGATTGTGGTATAGCCTGAAATAGCTATATTAAATAGATTGATTTTGATGTTTGCATCAGGAACTCGATCCCTTTTCTAAGTAGTGCTGTTCAGTTATCTGAGCCATTTTGAGTAGTGAAGTGGTTGTTATTATGATTCATAACAGGTACTAACATTTTTACAGCAACATGGTTTATACGAAAATGATAGTGATGACAATGTTATGTGACAATGATAAGGATGGATGTGATAACGTGTTATGTACTAATATGTAGTAACAGCTGTAGGATGGTGGAGGGGTGTGGCAAAAGTTCGTGGCTGTCATGCTTGATTTAAGTCGCCCTTTTGCGTGCAATTCGTTTTTCTCCAGAGATTTGTAGTACTATGTTCTGCTATAGCCCTTTTTGGGTGGTGAAGTGGTCGCTTGATGCGGATGTGTGTGCGAAAAGTACGAAAAGAAAGTTCCGTGCATGTGTCCTTCCCAAGCGGCGCTTAATACATCATATATGATTATGGAAATTTCCACTGGTTGATTGACATGACGGAGAAGGGAAGGTTTGCTCAGCGATGCCTCGAACACATGCGATTCGTTTTGGCCGACGGGCGGACTAGCGCCGATCAGACGCCAGATAAAGCATTAGAATTTGCGCTAAGCAAGCTTCGAGGAATTCGTTGGAGTCTTTCAATTGAACGAAAAAGGGGCTCGCTCTACCAGGTTTTATGAAGAAATGTCATTTGGACAAAATAGCAGATTCCTACACAGATTAACAATTTCCTCTATTTTTTACCATTGATTTGCTACAGGCTTTTGCGGTCTTAATGTCATTCAGCTACGAAAAATGCTGGATTGTTTACCCATGAGCTTGTTTATTTATCAGATGAATGCGTTTGATTTGCGTTGACATTGAGGACGTTTTGTGGAAAAAGGAAAGACATGATAGTGGGGACGGTAGGCAAACATTGGGAAAATTGCTAACTTTCTTTGAGCATTCAGGAAATAATCCAATAATCACAAAATCGTCCTGGATGAGAAAAAGGGAGCGAGGGGAGAGGAAGGGGGGGGGGGGAGGGGGACTATCATGTCAGTTCTCGTAGCGAGTAAGCGAAGTCAGTCGTGACAGAATTACAGTAAACGTGACATTTCTGTTTCAAAAATGCGCCGTAGTGGCCGCAATGGCATATTATGCGCTTTGCAGTACTTGGGTTTCAATCCGTCGGGTGCTAACAAAGATACTTAAAAATCAATTCCACAGCGGCGGTTCATGTGGCGCTGGGTTGTGTGAAGACATAGTCGACCACATAAAAATAATTGGTGGACTTCTGTAGGTCCACGTCAACATATAAGAAAGACTGTGCGCTTCTAGAGAGGATGTCGATTGGCGCAATCTACTGAAAGGACTCACTCCTTATAGGTTTGTAGTTGTTAAGCTGTTAATTCAGTTAGTTGGTAGTTGGCGAGCAGAGATTCTCCATAATGATTTTTTGTTTTTACAAGCTAAGCTGAAGAGTGAGAGGCACCTATCGCATAGGTGCGCATCTGGTGTGAGCATTTTTTCTCCGTCAGGTCAGAGCGATCCGCAGGCGATGTGGCGATAATTCGATTAGATGTGTGGTATAGTGGCGGAGGGGTTTTTACTAGCGCCACACCACGCGGCCGCTGTCGGCAGATGAGTGTGACAAATGACCGCATGCTCTTTTCGACAGGAAGACGACGATGTGATATCGCAACAATTGTTTCCGCCGTCGGCGGAGCTCATTGTGTGTTGTGGAAGATAGCTCATAATAAACTGATGGGGTTTTTCACTTTACGATGTAATAGCTTCAAATTCCCACGGAGCAAGAATATATCAATCGTCTAGTTTCTGCTCAGGGCACCTACGTAACGTACTAAACTACTCCTTTGTTCGACCCCATTTTGACAGTGTACTATATATAACTGAGTTTTTGACATGAAAAATCCAAGCTTTGTTCCGTTAACATTGACATCATGAAGTTCAAGCATTCTTGATACTTTAAGATTCGGAGGCATCCGTTAATACGAAGGGAAGGGGGGGGGGGAGGAGTGAAGAATGATTGACAATTAACTGTAATGACATTCTGCTGTCGCTATCACTCTCCCAAAACGTTCTATGGATTTTTTAGTGGACCGTAAATGAAAGGTCCAAGTGTAAAGTATTTTTTTACCGACGCGAATGCTTGTTAAAGAAGAGTGAGTATTCTTCCAAATGCGTTTTCGGTACTTGCGGCTAGAAGGTTCTGGAAGCGTGAAAATGCTGTTGGCGCCGGAACTAGCATCGCACCGTAAATTATGTTCAGACTTTTTTGCTCTTTTAAGGTTATTCAGGGATGCAGGTTTTTTTGGCGTCCCATGCACCAATCTCTATCGTCTGGAAAATTGCTCCTGCTCCTCAGATCTGCTATACTAAGTTATTACGTTGTTGCAGTCTGAATCCACACGGGCCCATCGATCTTTGACATGCTTCCCTTTATTGTTTGGTGGAGCCATTTGCTGAAGTTAATTAGAGACAATGACGTCACAAGCTCTACGAATAGCGGCTTCCGGGAGGATTTTGAGGTGCCCCCTCGATTCGCATGGAAGTCGAGTAACGTGGCGCAGTCGGAAGGGGGTTTAAGTTTAATCACTTCCTGTCTTTAATTTGCCATAGTTCGATTTGAATCAAGCCTCAGCATAACCAGTTTCGAAGCGAACAGGCGAGTAGTAAGGGCAGAATATTTGCCGTCCTTTGGTTTCTCTAATTGCTGTGAACTCCGGTTCAAAGCGAGCATTCCATCTAAAACAGGTTTCAGCCTCGAAATGCAGTGCGATGGGCTTAGGTACTCCCTGCATTTAATCCCATTAGTTCAGCGTTTTCGATTAGGGATTTGATGAGAACTCGTTGAGAATTCGCGGGAGTGTTTTGAACTATAACCGCCGAAGCAGACGACTGGGGAGTTGTTTAGATCTTGTCTCCACTGAAATTTTGTTGACCCATCGTCCGTCCAATTATTCTTGCAATAAACTACCATAAAAGAAGAATCCAATAGGCTATATGAATCCATTAAATGATGGTGACGTCGTGACATTGTATGCAGGTGTGCAAATACATCTTGATGTCAGCCATCTGAGCCATGAGTGCGCCCGATGTCTTTTTCATTTGCCGGTCAAACAGCTGTCAGCGTTTGCAACTGCTGTGAGAAAAAAGTGACCACGAAAGGGTGTAGTGGCATGATAGCAACACAGCTGTGACAGCTGTTAGAGCTGAGGGAAGCACTTTTGAAGGATTCAGTCGATTCATGTCTGTAATAAAGGCATTAGAGAGCTTTCGAAGCTTTTGTTCTCGAGCGATGTACTTGCACTTATCGTGGAGTGGAAGTGGTGCATAAGATGGCCTATGATTATGGCGTGGTCGACGCCTTTGTCATCTAAGCAGCATCGTCCAAGGATTAGGAGTAGGAATCCTAATGAAGTGCCCTGAGTTCAGATATGGCTCGTGAATACCCGAAGAGGTTAATGAGAACGCGATCGGGAGCCTTTGTGGCACGGAAAGAGTCGCCGAATGCAGTAATGCGTAAATGGCGCAGAAGGAATTCTCCTATTCTCCTAGACATTATGCGCTCAATTTGAAAGTGGAGGGGGAATGTATGAGAGGATATTTGCCATACTGTAAGAGTTCGAAGAGAGAATATGGAGAGCTATTGAACAAATCCAATCCAAGATAAGGAAGGATGTTTTTGGCTTTGGAGAGCTTTTGGGCACTAAAGGAAAACCAGTGCTTAGCAATTCTGCATTGTCTTGGGCCTGCATTCAATGAAGTACACGTTTTGCTGAGTGTTTTAGGTTAAGGGCGAAGTTTCGAAAGTTCTCGAAAGGCAGCTCTTCATGCACTACCCAATTTAGGCGTTATTGCAACATGGCGCTCTCTGCGAATGAATTGCTAGCACTTTCGGGAAGTACCCCCGTATTTTTGGAATTTTTAAAACCTATCGGTAAGTTGTGTATCATACGTGTCACACATGATCCAAGCGGCTGCGCGAATGAGAATCATTTTCTTGGAGATTCTAGCAGCGCCGAAATTGTTTTATGCTACGTTCTCGTTTGAAGTACTACGGGAAAGATTAAGTGAGTCGGAACTGTTGATAGTATATAATTTATTATGCGAAAGATTTAGGGGTGCGAGCGTACAGCGTTTCTTTCGGGCCACTGAAAGGGTGCGAAAAGGCAATTTTTCTCAGTAGGCGCTTGGATCTATTTTAATAAGCCTTCCATTACTCCGTGGTTAGTCAGCGAATACAAAACCAGGTTGGTGAAGTCCCGAAACGCTGATTGGAGACTGCTTGCCTCTGCTAGCAGTCATGGTAAGAGCACAAAGGAGCTGAATCGGGCGCCTTGACAGTATGGAGCAAGATACGAATATTGGACGTATCTTTGAAAAGCGATATAAAACACTAGTGCATTTTGTCTTTATTGCGCGCTTATTCTGGCAAGACTGTATCTGGTGTAGCCTTGAATGCACAGGATCAGAGAACAATGTTAACGTTTCATTCTAGAGCGAGATGGTTGCTTCCGAACTAGCTATGAGACGAAGCCTAGGTGAGACGAAACAATTCAGGCGATATTAGTGCCTGATTTTGGAAGAAACTTAAAAAGGTCACCTGGAGAGCTTCTCACATGAAGTTTTACCCAGTTGGCACTTTTAAGGTGCTTTGTGTAGGTGCGTCCCAGCATTAGGAACGCTATCCGAGAAAGTGGGAGGGTGCAGTCCTCGCGGCGGACATATGTATAACTGGGAACTTCGATGAATATTAAGTTTTTTTTAAGGAATTTTTTGATTAGCAAGTATTGAGATATGATTTCGTTTTGGTTTTGGCCTAGTAACTGCATCGTCATGGAATTGGAAAGCATTTCGTCTCGGGGTTCCAATGATTGTTTACATTTCCTTGCCACTTGTTTATTCCTTTTTCGCTATCGTGCTTCTCTGGCACAAGCTGAATAATTGGAGGGAAAGAAAGGGGGGATAAAACGAGGTATTTGGCCTCATTCTGGAGATGATCAGAAAGCGCTTATTTACGAGTGGAGTTGAATGGAGTTTCTCAATGGTTTAGATAGAGTGACTCTACAAAATGTTATCGTCGTTGATGATAATGATTTGTGCTACGGCAATAAGTCTATTCAGAATGCGTCTTCGTTCAGCTTCCTTCAGAATTGTAGTGAAAGCGACATTACTTGTA